AAAGAAGTATGAAGCGACATAGAATTATTACAATATCTGCACAGAACGGCCCTTTTCCTGTGTGGGATTCTGCTAGAAAGGGCAGAAAAAATGCCAAGCTACACAGGATTCATATAATTCTTGTGCTTAATGCCTCCCCCCCCTTCTAGGGTTCACTGGAAAGGGTATTAAGTTGCACAGAATCTTGCAATTTCTGCAGAACAGCATGCAAAACAACAACAGGAAAGAGATAGATTAGAGTTGTATTTTTGTGAGAATCTGGGAAACTTACAGGTGTAGGAGGAAGACCTTTCTGGGGAGTCTTAAGAGGGCGAGGCTTGGAAAATTCCTAAGAAGGAAAAATTTGGGAAGTACTCATCACATCCCTAGTGTTCACCAATGCTGAATATTCATAAGCAGTGGTTCTTGTTAAAGGTTTGAGGTCCTGTACACATGTACCTGAGAGAAGTCCTGTTGAACTCATGTTGATTTACTTCTAAGTAGATGTGGATTGACTGCTCAAGTGTCCCTCTGTGTCTGTAAACTAAAAAAATCTGTTGATTTGCAATAATGATGCAGATCTAAACACAGACACCTAATGTATACATTACACAAAAGGAAAACAGACTACAGTGGTGCCCTACATAGCAATGATAATCCGTTCGGAAAAAATCATCGCTATATGGATTCGTCACTATGCGGGGCAAAAAACCCCATAGGTAGCGAGGAAAGGGCGCGAAAACACTGCGGGCGGCCATTTTATTTGCCCGGCGGCCATTTAGTGAAAATCCTCCATACGGCCGCTATTTTCGCTGCCTGGTAAGCGAGGAAAGGGTGCGAAAACACTGCGGGTGGCCATTTTATTTACCCGGTGGCCATTTTGGAACCGCCGATAAGCTGTTTAAAAAACATCATTATGCGATAATCGGTAAGTGAAACGCTTACTGATCATCGCAAAGCGATGCTTTCCCATCTAAAACATTGCAATGCAATCGCTTTTGCGATCGCAAAAATCTCATCGCTATGCAGATTAGTCGTTAAAAGAATCGCTCGTAATGCGGGGCACCAGTGTATATGCAAAAGTTTATTGTACTCGTCGTTAAACAAATCGCTCGTTATGCGGGGCACCACTGTATATGCAAAAGTTTATTGTATAAAAACCTTATGTCTTATGTGCAAATTTTAAAACTGAATTGTATTTCATGAGATTTGCAGGGAGAACCTCATGAGCACCATTGCAGTACAAATTCCAGGAGTTATAGTGAACTCATAAAACATGTGCAAAACAACTTTCTAGACAGTGTCTCTTTGATCCTGAGTCACTACTTATGTAAGTCAAGTTGAGGGGATTTGTGGAAAACAGTTACATGAGCTATGTTATTAACATCTCTAATACAGAGTTTTTCCTCTCTTATTTGCATAGTAGAAAGGCAAGAACTTCCAAACAGATAATGTACTTTGCCAGTTTAATTTACTCTTATTTGCATAGTAGAAAGGCAAGATAATATACTTTGCCAGTTTAATTTCTTTCTCTGTTGAAATGACTGATGTTGCAGCTCATTAAAAGCTGTCTGTTGTGAAACTGGTGATATCTTCAATCCCAGTAGCCTTTAGGGCCAAGCTTCTTCATGGAAAGCAGCACATTGCCTCCAGTCACAGCCTATACCTCCACTGTTCTCCCAACACCAAGCAGGATTTACTTCTGTCCTGTGTTTTGGTGCACATCGGTATCTACACAAGGTTACAGGATTAGGTCCTTAGTCTTATAGGACTGGTATAGGTTCCTTCAAGGTTCAAGATGTTCAAATTATCCTTAGCATTAAGCCTTCTTGTTATCAGAGACATCTGTAGCTACGTCTGTCCCCTTCAATGTCCCTAGTTAGCTTAAGGGAACAGAAGAGAACCCTTTGCCATCCAGATCTAGTTGTACTCCTCAAGACTGTAGGACCAGTGGTCAAGGATGATGGGAACTGTAGTCCAATGATGTCTTGAAGGTCAGATTCTCCATCCATGATTTAGAGATATTTCTAGGTCAGAATTCTTTTTAAAATTCTTTTTAAAAGGGGGGTAGGAGTGGAGAGACAGAATCAGGTTGTTGCTTGTCAGTAAAGTGGCCTTGGGTTTTGCACATAAACTAAGTGCCTTTTTGTTTTTGTGTTTTCAAATTGTAATCACACGTTGCAGTGAAAGAGGAAGCTTGAACAATAATTATGTTAGACTTGCTGACATCATTTGTTTGCCCATTTCTGGAGAGTAGCAGTCTTGCTTTGTCAGCATGTTTTCTAGTCAAAATAGCAGCTCCATCATAGCATGAACATACGTTGTGTTTTTTGGCAGGTGGAGGAATCAAAATTACCCACCTAGAAATATTTGGTAGCAAAGACTGAAAAGATAAGCCTCTTTTAAAAGTCCTGACATAATCATTATGTCATTTCTGTCTATTCTGAAACAATAAGAACAATAATGATGTTGTTTCAAAATCCTTGTATAATCATGATGTTACTTCTTTGTGTTATATGGCTGCTCCCACCAAGTGTTTAAAAGTTGGTTGAACCGTAGTCCAGTATCAGGTATAAAATGTTTTTCAACTCTTTTGGCATAAGCAGTTTTTGAAAACTATTAAATGTATAACCAAGCAATATATTAGTTTTTGAAAGCTAGTAACCCCATAATATTTATTTCCCTGTAAGTATAGTATGCAAAACATCTTGCTGTCACGTATGCTTGTTTTTTGTTTATTAAAATTTTTAATAAGATACAATGCACAAAGCCATAAAATAGTTATAAACCATCATACCCAATATAGTAAGCATATCACATGATACTACAGTGGACCCTCTACTTAAGGAATTAATCCGTATTGGAATGGTGGCTGCAAGTCGGAAAGTCTGTAAGTCGAATCTCCATTGACCTACAATGCATTGAAAACGGATTAATCCCATAACCAGTGGTTTTTATTCTATTTTTATTCCATTTGGGTTTTTTTCTGGTCTGTAAGTCGATTCTCTGGCTGCAAGTCGAATCTAAATTTTGCAGCCAGAGAAGTCTGTAACTCGAAAAGTCTGTAAGTCGAGCCGTCTGTAAGTCGAGGGTCCACTGTACTAGTTAACATAACACATCTTTCCATAAATCAGCATGAGTGGCTGGAAGGGTGCTAAGAGGATCAGAATAATTATTGCAGTACTGAGTGAAAGGAAGCTAGGTTTTATAAAACAAAGTTAATCTGGGATTCTGGTACCTCACAGCTGCTTGTTTAGAGCAAGTTTATCTGTCTTACTTCACTGGGTGTTTTCTGTTTTTTTATTCTGTAGCACTTCTTTCCTTCCAAGTCAGGTCCCCTTTGGGGAGAAAGGTGGCATATAAATAATTTAAATGAATAATAAATGAATAAGGTATCTTTTGGCTTGTAGGGAGAAACACTGGTAGTGGTGAGAAGGACTTTAGCTTACATTGCAGAAGAAGAACAGCAAAATCCCCAAAATGAATGATCTTACATGGTTAATGTTAGTGAAGCTGTTAAATAATTTTATCTAGTGAAAACTCTGTCTTGTAAAAACACCAAGTAAACAGTGTCTCCAAGTGGTTAGCTGTCATCCAGAACCTCTGTCTGATTGAAACACTAGATTCTTAAAGCAGGTAAAGGGATGCTATAAACAGACGTAGTAAGTATGCCATTGCTGCTGAAGGTAGTGTGCCTCTAAGCTTTCTCTTGCACTTTTATAACTTATAGCAGAAGTTAAACCCCATTTAGGTGTTATGCTTGAAACTGTGGAGAGCTAAATGGATGATAGGAACAGGGGCATGCATGTAAGGCCTTCCCCTAAAACCCAGTATCTTACTTTGTTTCACACCAAAACCTGCGAAAGAGTCTGTAAGTACATTCAAGTAAATGAATGCATAGTGCTCCTGTGTCTGGGAATCTTTTCAGGATCCATATGTTACCACCATCTGTTTAGCTTTCCATAGTTTCGGAATAACCCCTGAATAGGGTTCCACTTATATTGGAATATTATGATACCAAGGTATAATTATGTTACTTCTCCCCAGTTTTTGTGAAAGGAACAGATTTTGCAGAAGGAAAATTATAAGTAGATGCAGGGCTGATAATTTCAGCAGCAGCACAACGACTGAGTAGTTTGGCCTGCAGAATACTGGTCGTATGACTTCCTTATGTTCCCATATAGCATAGGGCTTGTGTCTCTTCTAAATGTAATAAAACCTGAAAATCTTAGGAAGAGGTCTGAAGTAGATAGCTTGGGTTCTGGAGAGGGGTTCATCTAGACTGGAGTCATGCTTGAGAGCCAGGAAGTTAAGCACACCTCACACTTGTTTGGTTGCTTTCAGATTTATTCCCATCATGTCAGTTTAATGCCCAATTTCCTGATGCAGCAACTCATAATGCAGGTAGTTTGCACCCTTTTTAGATGATGATGATGTCAGTGTTACTTCAGGTTCCATGTGTAAGCAGTCTTTTTAATATGGTAAGTATAGATGAAAAACCTGGAAACTGTTTGAAAAATGTTGTACTGAAACTTACTTGCTACCCTTTCTCTTATTGCCTGCTGTCAGGCTGACACTTGCCCGACGCACTTACAGTGACAGTGACTCTTCTGTGCCGACCAGTCTCCCTTCTTCCTTCTCTGCCCCATCTTTCCTGAAAAGCTTTTACCAGAGCTCAGGAAAGCCAACTCCTCAGTCTGAAAACGAACACCCAAAGAGGTGAGAGCCTTGGTTTCTTGCCTGCTCTGCAATATTGCACTTCCCACGCAGCTGCCTTGCAGTAGGGCTTTTTTTCCCCCACTCGCTCCTGTGTGAAATAGTTCAGGTATTTCACGAAGATCTCTGAACAGAGTATTGTGCAGAAATGCTTGTCAAAATCGGCAGCAAAGAGATCTCGCTTCATTCCTGCACTGTTTGTGATTCAGATGCCAATATAATTATTTTTAAAAATCAACATTGCCAAACCTAATCTGTAAGAAATCATAAGGCTCTTTAAAGTTCCTTGTAGGTGTTTTATATGTTTTTTTTGTTTAGTTTAATGTATGAGATTTCTGTCTTATGCTACTAGAGGACCTTTGTGAGTATAACCACTAGGGCCTGTTCAGGACTTGGCCTGCATGAGGAAGTCCTTTATGTTCAGGTGTCTGTCTCTCCTGCTTAGCCCGCATCTTTAAAATGGAAGGACTGTAATTCCTCCTCATAGAATCTTTATTTGGTTGATTTGAGGAGATGATGGTTAGAGCATTTTGCACATGTAAAATGCCATATTTGCAAAACCACTGCAGGTGAAGGCTGTAACTTTGAAAATTGTTAACCCAGTTTGAATTATTGCTGAGTTAACTTAGGTAAAATATTAGAGGGGTGGGCCTGGTTTAATCCAGGGCATTTATAAGAGTTGGCAATGTTGATAATTTTGGCGAGCCTTCTACTAATCAGTTTTTGTTTTTTACATTGTGCTGCTGGCAAGAAGAGTGTTAAAGATGCCCAAGTGTGATTAACATTGGCATGCTTTTTTAAAAAAATGCTTTAAAATAATGAATATAATGTACACCATCTGTAACAAAGTTCCAGTATGCACTGTCAATGAGACTTGTTCAAAGGTGGAGCCTTATGTGAGTCTGGATTTGGGCATTTGTGTTTCTGAGACATTTCTTAGTGGTGTGATTCCAGAGTTGCAGCTATATTTGAATTCAAAGATATAACACTGAATTATGCATCCATCCTCTTCAATCCACCTTGGCAGTGTGTACTGCCTGCAACTCTGATCAGGGAAATGGGTGCTATGCAAAGGCCAACTATGTATGTAGATTCCTCTTACATCCTCTAGGGCTGGTGGGAGAAAAGGGTTTTCCTACATCTTTTTTTCCCCTACAGCTAAGTAGACAGTTTCATCATGCATGCTGGAAGCATCTCTCCTACCTTCAGATTCTCAAAAGCAATATTGCAATTTTTACATGTAACCAAGACTATATTTGAGTGCCTTGGCAAATCTGGTTTCACTATCTTTATTGCTCACGCACTGCAGGGGCCAAACCCTGGTACTTCCTCAATGATCATATACTTCTGCCTTGCTTCTAGTATCTATGGTGTGTGTGTGTGTGTGTGTGTGTGTGTGTGTGTGTGTGTGTGTGTGTGTGCATGGATGTGCATGCGTGTGCACACACATGGGATAGGTGTCCTATAAATCGAGGTCTAAAATGTGCAATTCAGTGGCTGTGGACTCACAACTTTGGGGAATGTAGGATTCTGTGGGAAGTTCTGGTCTTCACCAGACTAGCGTGTGAGTATGTTGGAAACACATTCATTCTGATTTTCTTAACATACTGCTGTCTACTGCAGAATTTACAGTAAAGAAGGGAAAAAATATTTCAAAGCATCATTTCCACACTGTTACCTATGAATTTCAAAAGTGCCCCATGATATTCTTATTAGCAAGATAACTAGGTGTGGGATAGAACAACTGCCAGGTGGATACACATTTGGCTACAGAATCACCCTCAGAGAGCAATTATCAATGGCTTCTCAAACTGGGAAGAGGTAACAAGTGGGGTTACCACAAGGCTCAGTCTTGGATCATGTGCTTGGATTAATGACTTGAATGTGTATGTGTGTGCAGGGAATGCTGATCAGATTTGTAGATGACACAAACTTGGGTGATACAGCTAATACCCTGGAAGACCACTTATTGGCTGTGCAGGGAGACTCCCTGTCCCGCCTCCTCACCAGAGTGGTTGGCTGCCTGAGGAGGTGGGGAAAGGCTGGCTGGGCTCCTGTCTGGATTGGAGGGCTGCTTCCAAAGAAGGGCCCCAGCAGCACGCAGAGTCCGATAAGTGGACCAGGCAGCCTGGAGGAGGGAGATGGAACTCAGCACCACCTGTGGTGCCATGCTGAGGGCTTCTTAGGAAGCATGAAGCTCCCTTCTCTAGTCCCCCCCCACACACACTTGTGAAGGTGGTAGGTCCAAAAGAAAGGCCTCTCCTGATACCTTAACAGCTGAGCAGCCTCATAATGGGAGTCAGGGTCCGTGAGATAGCTTGGACACAAAATGCAGCAGCAGCAGCAGCAGTATTAATTGCTCTTTTCCAAAGGCAGTTTTGCATTTCAAAAAGAAATTTTTGCAAAATGAACAAATGGCTAAATATAAAAAATTTCACCCTTCTGAAAATATTGTGCCAAGTCTTACCATATGTAGAGGAGGGACGAGACTGACAACTAAAGTGTGTTTTTCCTCTTGTGAACCCGTCTTCATCCTACAGGTTAAAGATTTGCTGTGAGTTTGCATTAAGTCATGTCAGTTTTTTCTCTTAACCTATAAATCAGAATGTCAGCTTTCAGTTGTTTTTAAATTATTGGCATCTTATTGGATTTTCAAGTACAGATTACCAGTTCATCTTCAGCTAAGCAGCACATCATGAAAAGGGGATGGATGTGTTCATTAAATGTATTTACATTTTTTTTTTAAATTCCTACTTGCTCATAATACATCAAGGTTTGTTAAAATCTTTCAATACATCTAAAATTCTACAAACCCAGAATGATACCACTTGTGATGAAACCATTACCAGTTTTACCTAGCAACAACAACAAGAAGGCTGGAAGAATGCAGGAGAAGAGCCTGTGAGAAATGAAGTGACGGGAATAAGAGAGAGTTAAATTGTATCTTGAGGAGGGAGGTTTTTTAGGAGTGAGCTAGATTGTAGAGGAAACAAAACAAAAACCATCATAAAGAAAAGGAAATACAAGAAAGCAAAATGGCTGTCCAACTAGGCCTTACAAATAGCAGAGAAGAGAAGGGAAACAAAATGCAAGGGAGATAGGGAAAGTTACAGAAAATTGAATGCAGACTTCTAAAGAATAGCAAAGAGAGACAAGAGGGCCTTCTTAAGTGGACAGTGCAAAGAAATAGAAGAAAACAATAGAAAGGGAAAAAACCAGAGATCTGTTCAAGAAAATTGGAGATGTTAAAGCAGGGGTCAGGGAACTTTTTTACCTTCCCCCCCCATCATATATGCTGACATTACCCCCTTGATTTGAAAGGATGAGAATCATAGATGATTTGAATTCAAAATATTATTGAATCTACACAGGCTGTATACCGAACTAGTAGGATAGATCATCAGTATCAATGGCTGCCAAGCTATGTACTGAACTAGCAGAATGCACCAAATTTAATAAAGTTGTGCACTATTTTTGCTGGAACACATTGCACTCCAGCCATGGGGTGGAATAGGAAGCAGGATGAGAATCATAGATGATTTGAATTCAAAATATTATTGAATCTACACAGGCTGTATACCGAACTAGTAGGATAGATCATCAGTATCAATGGCTGCCAAGCTATGTACTGAACTAGCAGAATGCACCAAATTTAATAAAGTTGTGCACTATTTTTGCTGGAACACATTGCACTCCAGCCATGGGGTGGAATAGGAAGCAGTGAGGTGTCCAACGTGCCTAGCAAGTTGCATTAAATTTTTGCTAACTTGCAGAGGATTTAATCATCATCAGTGGCTGCCAAAGTGGTGCTAGCAGTGACATGATTGCTAGAGACAGCCAACACAGAGTGGGGGGGTGCTTTTCCTACTACTTTAATTACCCTGTCTGTGGTGTGCAAAAAGGAACAAACCAGGCTAAAGGTTATGTAAGCCCAATATCAAAGGACCAGCACACTATTTTTTTTAATCATCATTAATGGAAAATTCAGCAGTGGCCAGAGGATTGGAAAAGATCAGTCTACATCCCAATCCCAAAGAAAGGAGGTGCCAAAGAATGCTCCAACTACCGTACAATTGCATAA